CCATTACAAAATGTTAGCCACAGCTCTTGCAAACTGCTTCATCCCAGTAATGGCTGACATATACATCCCTTCCAAATAGGGTTTATTAATGGGAGGAATATTCAAGACGGAGTCGGGCGCAGCGCTATCGGGAGCGCTCGGCCCGACTTGCCGGGGAGCGCTTGGCTCAGGCTGGGCGCGTTCGTACGACAGTTTCGGCAGCGGTCAAAGTCTGGTAGGGCGATGCAGGAGCAGCGGTACGGCGATGAGCGAATGACGTGGTGGTCGCGATCGTACGATGCCTTTGGCAGCGGTTGAAGCGATGGTAGGGTGACGCGGGAGCAGCAGTGCGACAACGAGCGAGGGTGTGAGGACGAACGACCAATTCACCCGGCCGTAAGCCTTCTCTAGATCGAACATTGCCACAACAACTTGTCTTCTCTCGCTGCTAATGATTTTTCAGGGCTCCCATTGCCACCAAAATGTTTTCCGATTTCGATCTACCTTTCACAAAAGTACCCTGGCCGGCATGTGCTAGCTCAGGGAGATAAACCGCCAATCTTCTCACCAATGCCTTCGCCAGAATCTTGTAGGAGACATTTAGTAGTGAGATGGGGCGTCAATTACGTACGTTTCGTTTATCGCCCTTTTTGAAGAGAAGTGTGATAACTCCTCTGCACATGTCTTTCATCAACGCCTCTCCTTGCGAGACTCTATGGTAGGTGTTTAGTAGGATGTGGCCTATTTGATCCCATGTTGCCGCACAAAACTCCACTGGCAGTCCGTCATCTCCTGGCATTTTCCCTTTTGCCATGCTGTCAACCGCCTCTTTCAGTTCCTCCAATGTGAGCGGCCTGTCTAGCTGCAGTCTCTCGTGAGGTGAGAGTTTCTTGTTTGTCTTCTGCCACAAGTCCCCTTCTTCTTGCATCTCAGTCAGGGATTCAAATGCTGGGCGGCGCGAGGTCATGATGTCGCTGTAGTAGATTGTGGCATATCCAGCCATGGTCTCTGTATCTTCAGCAATATCAGTCTGCGCATGAAACCGATGAGATAGCGCTTGAATCAGACTGTGCGACCTGCATGGGCAGAGTTTGCCGAACGTCTCTTTCGACATTCTGTCAACCTGCGCCATCCCTTTTTCCCTGGCTCTTTTCGCCCACTCCTCCTGATGTTCCACCTCCAAAATCTCCCATTTATTCATCCACACCTTCTTCCTCCTTTCCCGGCATACGTCAGTGAGCGGGTCCCTCCCAATCTGGTCTTCCGCCTCCCGCACCATTCTGCAACATTCATTCAGTTCCTTGTTTCTTTCTTTGGTCAGTATTCGGGAGAACACGTCCCGGGCGAGAATTACCATCCTGGGCCCCGGCTGGACCCATTCCTCTTCACGTTCGAATCAGCCCTTGGTTTGTTCCCAATCCCTCCAATGCCACCGTGACGCACACCAAGGGCTGATTCGAACGTGAAGAGGAATGGGTTACTCCAATGCCACTGTGACGCACACCAGGCCAGTACTTCCGGGTTACTCAAGGGGGCAACATTCAACTTAATAAAAAGTTAAAAAAACGGCTTCTGTCGAGATATTACAGGTCAATCTCTTATCCATTGAGAGAGGCCAGTGATCTGACATTGGATGTGGGGTCACTCACATTGGATGTGGGGTCACTTCTGGCTAAATCACTGCTTGCCATGCGTCGCCCCTGGTGAGGATCAGGTCCAGTCTTCTTTTAATTGACGGCTGGTTGCCTTCTCGCTGTGCCGATTGCTAGGTGGAGCCTGAAGCCGATGGGTGCAGCCGCGGCTGAGCTGCATATATGAGTCTGTAAGCTCGTATGCGTCTATGAAGTTGGACAGTAAGATCACGTCCCTTCTTCTTGGTCATGCTTCTGGTGAGTCCAATCCCGGCTTGTGACGAGCCACTTCCCGACCCCGTGCCATCTTTCGTACCCTTTTTTTTGCTTGTATCATACCAACCTCAGGAAAACCCTGTTTTGAGTTCTTGCTTTCAGGTGCCGCATTTTCCTTTTTGAGAGCTTTTTCGACTGCTCAGTTCTGTTTTTCTTCTTGCAAAGTCGGGAAATACATGGGAATTTACGTGCGCCTTAGCGAGCACACTGGGAATTGGGCTCGGTAGTTGGGAATTCCGGGATAAGCGGAACTTCGACGTGTCCTTTTTGGGTGTGTGAATGTTCTTGGGCGCGTCGGGGAAAATTCTCGAAATTTCGCGTGAATACGAATAGGCGTAGGATTTTTCCCGCGTCGCTTTTTCGTGCGCGGATATGGTGATTTCAAGTTTGAATTAGGATAGAAGCAAACTGTAACTGTTTTAATGCCTTTTTTTTTTTTTTTTGTTGACGGTGCCACGCATGCAGAGGCTTTCTCCTCTCTGTCCCCCGCATCGCTTTCTCCCACGCTCCCTTCCCTTCTCCCTCCTCTTTCTCTCTCCCCGTAACTGTTTCTTCCTCTCTCCCCCTCACCCATCTTGCTGTTTTGCGCGCCCATTTCCCTTTCTTGATCGTCTGAATCTTGGACCCGTCTTGCGCCACCTCTCGCGCCTTTTCTCTTCTTACCCTTTGAGTCTGGCGTACGACTCCCAGTCGATCCCCCGATAACTCCTGCTCGCCAATCAGGTGCGTGGATCGATAGGACCTTCCTATCGCGCGACGGATCTGATTGGTTGAACATTGAGTTCCGAGGGATCAACATGGCGTTCTCGGAGCGCTCTTCTCAAAGTCTTCTCCTCCTTCTCCTCCTTCTCCTCCTTCTCCTCCTACACCCCCGCCTTCCCGTCGTTCTCTCCCCCTTCTATCTCCTCTGTCGCAACTATAAAACCCGCAAGCGCGCCCGCCAAGCTCTCTTACGTTCTCGACTCTCAAGCCAGCTTCCGGGAAGCAGTGGCTAGGTAGAGTGTTTGAAGCGAGTCGGAAAGTCCTGTCGGGCTGACGATAGACTGGCCGGTTGCGCGCTGGATCGCCACGACGGACTGTGGGATCTGGGTGAACCGTGTCGAGTTTACGACAGCGGGGTGACGATCGCGATGGTGGGAGTTAGCACGCGACGGCCGGGATCGTGGGTGCGGGTATGAGGATCGATGTTGAGTTGATTGGCCCGGGGCCATATTGGAATTAACGGCGAATGCGCCCTTGTTACAGATTGTTATCTTTGGCGTGAGTGTACGGCGGTGACGCCGAACTTTTCTCTTCCTGGGTCTTGTCATCTTCTATTTTGGACTTTCTTTCCCTCGACTCTCTCTCTCTCTCTCTCTCTCTCTCTCTTTCTTTCTTCTCGAAAGACGATGCGTCTGAATGATTGTCCCTCTCTTGAATGGGAATGAGTCGGCATCCTGTTTCTGTGTGAAAGAACTTCTTCCGGAACTCTTCCATTAGTTTCYTGGGTAATCCTCCTACGCAAGGACCCCGTCTACTTGTCTTGTGAACGGTGGATGCGTGTGTACTGTGCAATGCAATCCATCTTTTCCTGTGAGTGTCTCATTTTCGCACCTTCCACTGTGAATGCATGTATAGAGATGCGTGACTTTTCGGATTGATTAGACGAGTGCCGTCGGGATTTTGTTCGAGAATACAAGAGTGTTTAGATCTATAGTCCCGAACGCACTGCGCATGCCATCTGCCTTATGCGGCACGACATCAACAGCCACACCACCAAGCGACCTTGAGAAACCAGGCGACGGAAACCAACGTTGTGTTGCACTGAGTCGCGGGTCGGTCCCTTAGCCCTATGCATAATCAAGCTAATGTGTGTCTGCTCCCTCGTGTGTCAAGAAGGGTAGATTGAGGATCGCATGAATGATTTTTTTGCTCTTAATGATGCCTCTGGATATATGTGATTGATTGATATGTGGACTGACAAGGACCCTTCGATTGGCTTCCACTACCGAATACGGAGTGAGGACGAGCATAGGGAAAGAGTCACTCGGCTGAGACCATCCACGTCGGATTCGGAACTGACCAGCGAACGACGAAGAGATCTGATACGAAAACGAAACACGCGAAGCGTGCCCGAGCCTTTCCATTCTAAACGACGGGCTGTAGCCCGGTGGGAAGCCCGACAATACTTTCTGGATTGAATTTGGATCTTTCTGTTTTCGCGCCATGTCCGCGCGCGCATTCCGCGATGCGCGAAACTAATCGACTTGCTTCATCGAACCCTCACGGGGGATTTCAGTTCCATCTGTGTCCCCACACTTAATTTCCCAAAAATCATTGGCACACCCCATCTTGCTGTTTTTCTGGGCCTCTTTCCGCACGTCTCACACTCCAAACGGAAGACAACACAGGGTGTGAGGTTGGTATCGGAGCCGACACGTGTCGGTTCTGATGATAGTAAGTGGAACTGGCGAGAGGTAGGAGAGAGCCTCAACTAGCTCGTCGAGATCGCCCCGTAACCAGGTCCCAGTCTAGTGTGGTTGCACCAGCAGTTCCAATGGTAGAAGGTACTAGGGTGATCGTTAGCATCCCTGCCCCCTTTCCCTTCTTCCCTAACCATACCCATCCCGAGGTCTGGCTGAAAGCTGTCGAAGCTCAAAACTACAGCGCAACCGATCTTCCCCGTGTTCTGATATTACTACTTCGCAACACATCACATGACTGGTTTAGAAAATATATGTGGGTAGATTGGGAGACTTTTAAGCGTGCATTCTTGGCTCGATTCGATACGGTTAGTGAAGATGCCGCTTGGTACGTGCTCAAAAATCGACCCCAAGGACCAGGGGAACTGTTACCCGATTTCGTTGATCGATTTCAAACCACATTGGATAAATCCGGGCGAGACGAGAATTCCGCTCGAGACTTGTTTATTGATCACCTTCGAAGTATGACCTTGAAAGGGAACGGCAGAAAAAGTTTCCACAAAAAACAACCCAGTTGTCGGCTATCATCACTAAAGCGTTGGAACTAGACTTGGCTGATACAAAAAAATATATCAGTCAGGGAGACGAGGATATTACAGATACCATACGGGATGTAACGACCAAGAGGCGATCTTGGCTACAGGCGGTCGAACGGTTTTATCCCCGCCCCGATCATGACCTTCCCAGCGGAATCGTCTCTGACATCCCGACTGCTTCTTCTCCCTCTTCCCCGGTGAATCAACCAATCGCAGCCGTTAGAAGCGGAACCCCATCCGAATCCCCCTCGCTAGCCATAACCAATTTGCATCTTGCCCAGATGATCCATACGGCCACTACTAAGCAGTCTTAATGGATGAGTAACCTGATCCAAATGCAGGCGGCTCACATGGAACGGATGGAGCAGATAATGAGCCGACTCATGAAGCCTAACCCGGCTCCGACCCGACCTACCCCTGCATCGTTTCCGCTCTTACCTGCTCCACCTGCTCCAGGATTTGCCCCTCAGTTTCCCCTTCTAGCTAATCCGGCAGGAAAGATCGAGTGTTTCAACTGCAAACAGCCCGGGCATTTCGCCCGAGACTATCCGCAGCCAAAACGTAATCAGCCTCCCCCTGCTGCGGCCCCAGTCGCCCTTAATGAAGGACGAGTGACCGCGCTGATGGACACGGACCAGGGAGGAGAGGCTGTAGCATACGCTCCAGAACAGCCTTCCCCTTCGACGACAATGGCGTCGACATCAGGAGCCTCTTCCTCTGACGCTGTTGACGTGGTCGATCCCCTCGAGTATCTCCATCTTGCCGGAATGATCAGAGCAATCCGATCGGCCCAAGATGATCTCGAATGGGTCAATCGCGAGTCCAATCCTGGACCACAGTTTCGGACAGGGGATATTGATGTACTGAAAACGCTCAAGCAACTAGACATTCGCGTGCCCATCCCAGTGGGACATCTGCTCACCATATCTGAAACAGCGAACGATAAACTGTTACAACATTGTCAGAAAAATCAAAAGCGCTTCACCTATCAACGCGTACAACGGATGTTGAAGAAGAAGGAAGAAGGTGAGGAGGTTGCACCCCTCGAGCCAGACACAAAAGAACCTGAACCCGAAGCCGCACGTATAGCAGCGATCTCTTTAGCAGAAAAGGATCACTTCGTATGAGCTCGACCGGTACAATGGAAAAGCGCGGAATGTGACTGTGAAGTTTGGGGTAAGCCGTTTAATGCCCTAATTGACACAGGGTCTTCTGCAGTGGCCATATCATTGGAGACTGTTAAAAAGACGGGACGACTTGGATCCATTCTTCCTCAATCTGGCAAAGACAACTATGTCTCTGCCGACAAGGAAGTAATGAACATCATAGGCGTTATCGAGAACGTAGTTGTAAAAGTGGGACGAGTACACGTCCTTGTTAACGCACTTGTAATAGATGTACGTTCCTACTCTGTATTGTTGGGATTGCCTTGGGCGATGGCGGTGGGCGCACATCTGCATTTCGATTCGAAGCAACTGGTGCTCACACAAACTGGAGGAAAACCTCAAACTGTTCCTTTGCGAGTTTCCACCCGAACGATGAAACGGGTCCCCAACCCGGCCCAAATAGGGATGATCCGGTACATTGATCCCAACGAATGCTCCCCCTCGCGCTTCGGGGATGAAATCAGGGAACAAGAATACGAAGAAGAGATGCCAGTGAAGAGGAATGGAAATTTCTGGTTGAACTTTTCGAACACGAAACCCCTGAAGAATTTCGAGTGTGCCCCGACACCGCTCGAAGTTTCCACGTGGATTCTGAAGACTGTGCATTCACGCCTCTAACAACCCAGGTCAGTCCTTCGGCCGTCCTCGGGGAACCCATATTGCAAGTTTCCGACCTGGCTGATGATTTGGAACCCCCTCGCACATTGTACAAGGGAGCTCTTTCCTTACGAACGCGTTATCAACAAACGGAACAGTATTTGAATACCTCTGTTTTTCCGCCCAGACCATTACTAACGACAGGAGCCATCATCGCCTTGATTAAACAAGAGGCGGAAGCACCGGTAAGTGACGTACCTAATCTGATGCAAGAAATGACAGATCTAACAGGGCTAACTGTGGAACCGACTTCATTTGGTTCAGAAACTGATGCTGAAACCAAAGAAACGGAGATGATCAGCCTCGCTGAGTCTCAGATGATAGCAACTGTCTTCTCTGTGCGCACAAGTAGTTCCGTTTTCTCTAGTGTCAATGAGCGGCGGGAGCGGCCGGTTGATTGGATCGATATCCCCCTTTAGATGTCCAGGGAATCAACGATCACCCTCCCGAGTCACGTTCCCGCGGAATTACGAAAGTCGTTAATCCGTGCGTTAAATGGTTACGCAGATGTATTGAACATACACGATAATGATATCGGCCTGACAAATGTGATCGAGCATGCTATCTTCACGGGAGACCACCCACCCATTAGCTGTATTCCTTACCGATATTCGCCAGCTCAACGAGCGGCCGCTTTTCAGCGGATTAAGGAGTTCGAAGCTAATGGATGGATCGAACCCGCTATAGGACCATGGTCTTTCCCTGTAGTAATCGTACCTAAAAAGGCCGGAGGGATTCGCATTTGCATTGATTATCGAAAGTTGAATGATATCACGATCAAAGATGTGTACCCCCTCCCCCGGATTGATGAGTTGTTGGATGCGATTGGGAGTGCATTGATTTTTCAGCAAGTTTGATGTTCGCCATGGGTTCCATCATCTTCTTGTTCGAGAAGAAGATCGTCCGAAAACGGCGTTTGTGCTTTTCGAGGGTACATGGCAGTGGATTCGATGTCCGATGGGTATCTGCAACGCCCCTGCAACTTTCCAGTGGGCCATGAACATGGCTTTTCAGAACTTTGTACGGAAGACTCGTTTGGCACAGAGCATCATCAACTACTGCGTGATTGTATACATGGATGACATCTTGGTGTATTCAAGTTCCTACGAGGGACACGTGCAACACATCGAGTGGGCACTGCATGCGTTACGAGATGCAGGTTTCAAGGTAGCGCTTGAGAAGTGTCAGGTTTTCCTCACCACCATTTCTTTCCTGGGGCACGTGGTGACAGACAAGGGGCTCCAACCAGAGCCGCAAAAGGTGGCAACTGTCAGGGACGTGCCAGTGCCTATCACTATCATGCAAGTTCGTGCCTTTCTGGGCCTAGCCTCGTATTGCCGAAGATTTATCAAGGGCTTCGCGGTGATTGCGGGACCCCTCACAAATCTCCTGCGCAAGGATCAGCCGTTGATCTGGACGCCGAAGTGCGATCAAACGTTTTTCAAACTCAAAGCTGCTCTCATTTCGGCTCCGGTCCTTATAAGACCGGATCCCGAAAAGCCTTTTGTTCTCATCACTGACTGGCAGCCAGAGGCGATTTTGGCGATCCTTGCCCAGGTGGGACCGAGCGGACTCGAGAGTGTAGTGGAGTATGCGTCCAAATCAGTGCCCGCCTGCAAGCGCAATTACGCCACTCCAACGGGTGAATGCTATGCGGCTCTCAGGGGAATCAGTCACTTCCGTGCTTACCTGTACGGGCGAAAATTCACCCTGGTGACTGATCATGAGCCCCTGTTGGCTCTGAAGAAGTCGAAGGATTATTCGGGCATGATCGGGCGATGGGCAACGGTGCTGCAGAGCATGGACTTTGACATTCGTCATCGGAAGCACGAGAGACACGGGAATGCGGACGGACTGACACGACGGCACCGGCCTGAGAAGGTTCCAAAGGGTGAGGAGATAATTCCGTGGAACGAACCCGAACGGGAGATCGGACCTCGGTACGGCTAAGTGGAGATCTTATCGAAGCAGTAAGTGACACGAGGACTAGTTGTTCTGTTCTGATCTCCCTGCATCCCCTCCTCCTCTGCCATCATGACTACCCCACTCGCTTCTGCAACCCCTTCTTCTCCTACCGACTCTACCCCTCTCACTTCCTCGGCCTTCTTCGCCACCCTTCCTGATAAATTCTGCTATTTTTGCACGTGTATTGCGCGAGTCTATGGGGTCGACTGTCATCCCTTCGAGACCGGATTTGTGGATTGGGTGGAATGTGCCACGTGTGTCAATCGTGCGCACGGAGCCTGCATTCGATATCGAACGAGTAGTAAGGGATGGAGGTGCCTCTTGTGTAGAACGAACAAGCTCCCCACGGAGGTTCGATTCGAGGCCGCTCGTACGGACGGTCCTGAATACGACGAGAAATTTCGACGGGCGGAAGTCTGGACGGATAAAATTTTATTGGCAAAATTAGCGGGATTATCATTGGGCCATCTCACCAAACACGACAGACGTAGGGCAACCGAGAGATCTTGGGACTATCGATGGATCAACGGTCATTTGGAAAAGCGTAAAACTGACGGATCGGGTTCGTGGCTGACAGTTCCCCATCCCTTCCAGAGATACGATTGGATCCGATCTGCTCACGAGGAACAGGCCGCTCATTTCGCGATACGTGTCACGGAGGCAACTGTAGACCAGAATCGATGGTTCTAGTCCAATATACGAGGTGATGTCAAATACATTGTCGCTAATTGTCCGGTCTGTGCCGCTGATCGCGGCCCTATACGGGGACCAAACACAATCGTACCAACAGAAGTAGAGCGTCCTTTTCAGCGAGTCAGTATGGACACGACAGATATTGACGTGCCACCTGGCCCAAACCGCTGTGAATATTCTATTTTATTAGTATTAATTGACCACTTTTCCAAGTACATCGAGG